ACGACGGCAGCTATTGCTACCACGTCCCAACGAGGGAAGCTTTAGGAATATTTGTCGCTGACACAACGGACTTAACGGTTTGAGGAAGAGCAACATTAAACACTTCCATCACCGTGCGGTAACTTAGCATACCCATTTATCTGCGGCCTGTGCGAACCCCTGCACCACCTGAGCCTGAGCAGCCCCCCCCCNNCCCCCCCCCCCCCCCCCCAGTCTCCTGCTCTTCAGTGAATCTGGCGCTTAATGCGAGGGCTGAAGCAGAGCGAGAAATGGCTGACCTTTCGAAGGTGTGAGAGGAAGACAACATGGCTTGCGGATGCTCGTGAATCTTAGCCCCGCGCCCGGTCGAGTGAGAGAGGATGCTCCCTCGACTTCCGAAAAGGAGTCGGCGCGCAGAAGACGCGACATTGAAACTTCATGGCATGTCTTTAGACAGTTGCCCCTCAAACTCAAAGTCAGAGTAATGCTCTAATTCATTAAGCTTTGCCGGGCTGAGCCCGCCCAGCCATGTGAGACTCAGAGATACTCAGAGAAAACTCCGCCGCGTCTTGAAGCGGACATGCGTCTGAAAACTGACCACAGTTGATCTTCAGCACGGTTTAGGGTTTAGGGTTTAGAACTGATTCAAAAGCAGGGTTGAGCCAATGCACTCTGGCATCTTGAAGCAGATTAAGAGCAGAAGCTCAAGAGTTTGTGACCTGCTGTGGTCCAAGACGATTAATGCAGGACGTTGGCTGTATTGCAGCCTTTGTCTGGGTTCTTGTTAAGGAACTTATGTATGTTAGCATAAGAAGAAGGAAACCTGATTATTAATTATAGATCCCCATTACGGTAACTTAAGTTAAATTCCTTAACAGAAGACCCAGTTTGTCTATCAGCAGAACAACGCCTGCCTCCAGAAGTCATGGACTGTCCTCCAGTATTCTTCCTCGGACACAGTCACACGTGGGCAGCTACCTCGAAAATCTGTAGCATGCCATGGGGTCGCCGTTATCGCTCAGTCTGCTAGCTTCTGGAAGTTTACCCTAAACCCTGAACCCTACCCCCCAATAACCCCTAAAGCCCGAGCCCTCAACCCTAAGCCCCAAACCTTAAACCCTAAACCCTAAACCCAAAGCCCCAAACCCCAAACCCTAAGCCCTAAACTCTCAACCCCTATAGAACCGAAGACCCGAGCTGACAGTGCGTGCAGGCAGCTTCTGTGGCGCCACTGCGGTGAGCGACGTGGCCAGAATGCTCGAAGCACAGCTGCCGTGGCTCTGGGGCCTCCACGCTAAGGTTGAACCCATGGACGGTTTAGGGTTTAGGATTTAGGGTTTAGAGTTTAGGGTTTAGGGTTTAGGGTTTAGGGTTTAGGGTTTAGGGTTTAGAGTTTAGGCGAGTTTAGGGTTTAGGGTTTAGGGCTTAGGGGCCCTTAACCCTGGGATCCTCAGATACCTATTATATACCCTTTCCGTACCCTTGAGGGTCCCCAGAAAGGCTTAAGGGTCCATATTGGGGGCCCATACTTCTAACCTTAGATCCATTAGGGTTTAGGGTCCAGGGTTTAGGGCTTACGGCTTAGGGTTTAGGACTACAGTTACAATGCTCGAACTTACCCTAACCAAACCCTCACTAGGCAACCGTTCCTTTCTTTAAGGTTAAGCCAACTATATATTTAGGATTCTATCATGTAACCCCCCAAAATGAAACTACCATGGATACTATAGTTAAAGGAAACTACACGTGCGGAGCTTAGGGTATATAGGGCTTCTATAGGGCTTCCATAAGGTGTATAGACCTTCTATAAGGCTCCTACAACGGTAACTACCCACCTGAAAATGTCCTAGACTAAACCCTAAACCCTAAACCATGATGCAGGGTAAGGGTTCCTTAAAGGATTCCCTAAGGGGCTCCTCAAAGGGATCTATAGGGAGCTCCTTACTAAGTCCCATGATCCTATAGGTAGACTCTAGATCCGGCTATCAAGCCTGATGGACCTGACCCAGCACTCTGAACCCCTGTAAGACCTTTTCGGGTTCAGGGTTTAGGGTTTAGGGTTTAGGGTTTAGGGTTTAGGGTTCAGGGTTTAGGGTTTAGGGTCTTCTTCAAAAAACCTACAAACGTCAAGACAAATCTACCGGAAACGATGCCAATTCTTGAGCATCCCTATGAACAACACCAGAAGAAAGAGCTCAACAAAACTCTCTAAAGCCCAAAACTCTGACCCCCCCCCCCAAAAGAAAAAGCGAAGCCCGAAAAAACCCTAAACCCTAAGATAAAACCTGAAAGCCGTAAAACCCTCAAACCCAAACCTGAAAGCCCTGAAACCCTAAACCCCAACCCCCGAACCCTGAACCCTCACACCTCTAAGCCCGAAACCCTGAACCCTAATGCAGGGACCTGAATAATTAGAATCGTTTTTTTGGAGGGGGGGAGGTATGTTATATATTATACTGTAGTTATTGTAAGGAACCCCCAAAATAAGATGGGTAATTATTAAGGCCCCAAAGCGGCCCTTAAGACCCTAAACCCTAAACCCTAAACTCTATATTGAGCCCTAAAGCCCCGCAAGCCAAAGCAGGTGCCTGACTCTCGAGTTGGTCCAGCCGCATTCCTAGCTCATGGATGGGTTGTTGGGGTGTCAGGGTTTAGGGTTTAGGGTTCAGGGTTCAGGGTTTAGGGTTTAGGGTTCAGGGTTCAGGGTTTAGGGTTTAAGGTTGAGGGTTCAGGGTTTAGGATTTAGGGTTTAGGGTTCAGGGTTTAGGCTTTAGGGCTTGTCCTCAAGACCCTAAACCCTAAACACGACACCGAGCTAAGTATCCCAGAAAATGTAAAACCTTCCCCAAACTCTGACAGAGAGTCTGCACTCATCGATGTAGCGCTCGATTTGAACGGCAGGGGCGATCCTGGAAGTTTGGGCGTTTAGGGGTGTAAGGGTTTAGGGTTTAGGAGTGGTGGCGTAGACCCTATAAGTTTTCTCACATGGTTTAGGAGTTGGGGTCGTGAGGGCCTAAACTTCAAGGTGTTGAGGGTTTAGGATTCGGGGCTTTTGAAGCGGATTGAGGATTGGGTGCCGTAGGGTCAAAGAGCAGGGGGTTTTAGGTGGTTCAGGGTTCTTTCAGCTTTACGAATTAGGGGTTTAAGAAGTTTGGGGTTTGGGTTTAGGGCCTGGCGCTCTGGGGCATAAGGTTTATGGGCCACGGGTCGTTCTATGCTGGCCTAAGACAGAATGCACAGACGAGGGGGCCCTAAACCCTAAAGCCTAAACCCTAGACCCTAAACCCTAAACCCAAAACACAGACGGAGGGTCCTGTCCGAGCTTGAGTATATAAAGCAAAGCGGGACGCCGGGCTCATGTTGATGAACCATCATCTGGAGACCTTGCTCCTGTGCCGCAGTCATTGAAGCTGTGGTTTTGGGGTTTAGGGGTTTATTGGTTTAGGGGTTTAAGGGTTTAGGGTTTAGGGTTTAGGGCTTGCCGCAGTCATCGAAGCTGTGGTTTTCTTCGTGCTTCCTGCAGGGATTGGGCTGAGGGTCTGGTTGCTGAGGGCATTTAATCCCAAAGGGTCCTAGATACTGTTATGGGGGGATACTTTCCCAAATCAAAATAGCAATTCCTATTATAGAAACCCTACATTCTACTCTATAGGTACTTTGGACCCTTTGGGAATGCATGAAGGGTAAGGTCTTGGCGGTTCAGGGCTCTGAGGGCAGTGATGGTCCCTAAACCCTAAACCCTAAACCCTAGTGATGGTCTGCGTCCTGCCGCATCAGATCTTCGTAGTACTCCCAGAGAGGGCCGTTCCTTTTCGTGAGCTCCCTCATGGAACTCTGTGAGGCCTGCAGGAGGGTTTAGGGTTTAGGGTTTAGGGTTTCAGGAGTCCAGTTAAAGGATCATGGGACTTAGTAAGTAGGGTTATAACTAAGGTAACTATACTTATACCTCCAATTAAAGGACTTGTAACCTTACTTACTAAGTCCACCCTAAACCCTAAACCCTAAACCCTAAACCCTAAACCCTAAACCCTAAACCCTAAACCCTAAACCTTTAAGCATGAGCAAAGGTTGGCTGAGAAGGTATGGTGCAGAAGAGAGTGCATTGCTGCATCCGGGCCTGCAGCTTCGCAACCTGGCTCGTGCAAGGATTTAGGGTTTAGGGCTTTGGGGGTTCAGGGCATAGGTCGAGTATGGTCAATTCGGAGTCGGATCCTACTTCTGTCATGATCCGTGGAGTGTCAAATGCTTACGCATCCATCGCTGCCACAAGGTAGCACGACTACTCACAAGGTAGCACTGCTACTCTTGACATTCGATCACCGTCAGCAGCCGAAAGTTCTGACTTCCCGATATGACTCATGCCCACCTCGGAGAGCTCTGTTCCGTCTGCCCCATATCCGTTCATAGCCTCGGCCAGTGTTTATCCAGCCGCTTGTTGCGACGATGTTGCGACGACGGTGAAAGTGGTAGTGGAAGTGGTGGTGGTGATGGTGGTGGTGGTGGTGGTTTTGGTGGTGGTTTTGGTGGTGGTT